AAATTTATTAGTTATAATAGTTGGTATACGGTATATTATTTATTAACTTTACTTTCAAAAAAAAATTGATATTTTTTTTAATTGAAAATAAAATATTTATACTAAAATTACTACTATACTATTAATTTAAATTAGATAAATGCTACTTTTATTAAACTTATGGTGAATATTGATTTTGATACAATGCCAGCTGTAGGAATAAATATTATAGTAATAGAACAAACTACACAAACAGTTAAAAATGTTGATGGTGAATCAGTTCTTGATTTTCTTGTAAAAGAAAATCTAAATGAAAGGGAGTCAAAAGACTTTAAGTTAGAAATAAGACATGATCCAAAAATTAGCTATTTGACTAATAAGTCAAATTCTATTAATCAAACCTTAAGATTTACAATAGCAATATTAATTGAACTACTCCATGTTAGATTATAACTTAGTGCATGTGTTATGTTACTTAATAATTCTCTTATTGATTAAAGAATATGCAATGGTACAATAAGTTTAATTACTAATGTAAATCCTTCAGAACTAAGTATACAAGTTATCTTTTCTATTCAAGATTCTATAATAAACTTAAATATTTATAATCAAATTCATTATTTTGAAATTAATGAAAATAATTACCATCGAACTCAATTTCCTTTATATAATTGTTTTGCTCTTTCTGTTCACAAATTTCAAGATCAGCATTTTTAAATTAGATCAGGATAACCTGTTTACCTGACCTGACCTAACCTGAAAATCTAGGTCAGGTCAGTAGATATTTAGGTTAATATCAGGTTAGGTCAACAGGTTGAACTGATCTGATCCAACCTGACAAAATTCAAGTCAACTAATCATCATTCTTGAATGATATTTTATCGTTCAATTATAATGATTTGTTATTATTCTTAAATAATAATTTTATCATTTGAGAATGATGTTTTATCATTTTTAAATATAGTTTTATCATTCAAGAATGATGATTTATCATTCAAGAATAATGTTTTATCATCTAAGAATGATGTTTTTATCATCTAAGAATGATAGTTTTATTATTCAATTAGAATGATTTATTATCATCTGAAAATGATAGTTTTATCATCTAAGAATGATGGTTTTATTATTTAAAGATGATGTTTTATCATTCAATTAGAGTGATTTTATTATTGTTCAAGAATAATTATTTTATCATTCAAGAACGTAGTTTTATCATTTAAGAATAATCATTCAAGATAATGATTTTATCATTCAAGTATGATATTTTATCGTTTAATTAAAATGATTCATTATCATTTAAAAATGATAGTTTTATCATTCTTGAACAAAATTTTATAATTCAATTAGAATGATAGTTTTATTATTTAAAAATGATGATCTATCATTCAAGAATGATATTTTATCATTTAATTAGAATGATAATTTATGAATTTATCGTTCAAAAATGATGATTTATCATTTAAGAATGATGTTTTATCTTTCAATTAGAATAATTCATTATCACTCGAGAATGATAATTTATCATTCGAGAATAATAGTTTTATTATTCAAAAATAATGATTTATTATTTGATAATGATAGTTTTATCATTCAAGAATAATGTTTTATTATTCAATTTGAACAATGAATTTATCATTCAAGAACGATAGTTTTATCATTTTAGAATGATGATTTATTGTTCAAGAATAATAGTTTTATCATTCAAGAATTTATGATTTTATCATTCAAAAATGATAATTTTATCATTCAAGAATGATGTTTGATCATTTGAGAATAATATTTTATCATTCAATTAGAATGATTCATTATCATTTTTAAACAATGATTTTATTATTCAAAAATGATAATTTATCATTCTTGAATGATGTTTCATTATTTAATTAGAATGATTTATTATCATTTTTAAACGATGATTTTATCATTCAAAAATGATGATTTATCATTCAAGAATAATGATTTTATCATTCAAAAATAATGATTTATTCAAGAATGATAGTTTTATCATTCAAAAATAATGTTTTATAATTTTATTAGGTTAGTTCAGATCAGGTTAAGTCAAATAAAAATTTAAATCAGATCAGATTTTTGTTTGACCTAACTTGATCCTCTCAGTTCAGGTAACTTGATTGACCTAATCTGAACTGACCTGTTTAGAGCTTTACTCAAGGATTAACTTTACCTAAAGTTACATTTGCTTTAGATAGAAATATATTTTCAACTGGTCAAGCTTATGTTACTCTTAATAAATGCCTTAAATGGAATAATATAAACATATCTCATTTTGATAGATCTGCTTTTATAACTGATCCTGATATAATACTAAAATATTAATGATTAGAAACTATATCTAAAACAAATCCTCACCTATTTTATAATTTACTTATTAATAATTTATTTACTTATCTTAATTAATAACTAAATTTATTTTAATAAAATTTTTAATTTATATAAAAAAATAAATCTTTTCACAATAAAAAAAAATTATTTTTTCTTATTTCATATTTTATAAATAAAAAAATAATATACAATTTCATTTATTATTTATTTACTAATATTTATAAAATATTTATTTATATTACTGATTACTAATATTTATTTCATTTTTTTATTATAAAAAAATCACAAAATTCTTTACAATTAAATCAACTAATAAAATACAATAAGTAAAACTACTAGTGTTATATTATTCTATTTTTTACATGCCTGCCATAGGTATTAGAAAAAAAAGTATTGGCTAGTTTATAATTAAATTTAATCAACTACTTGAATGTTTTATCTGGTTCTAAATCAATAAAATTGATTCAACCTTGGAAATATTTTAAAGATATGTGAAAGTGTTAAAAAAAAAAAAAATAGAATAAAATTAATTATCTTTAAAAAAAAATATATTTATGCTTTGCTTTGAAGTTATCACGTGAAAGCAGATAATATCATGTTGAAGTTCAAGCTAAATATTACTAATATAATTTTAGCTTAATATATAAATGATTTTATACTAAATTTTATATAATATTTCGTATTACCTCACGAAAGGTTATTTAACAGTAATGTTGTTCAAAAAGTTTGGTGCTGGCTGGTTTGGCATACTTAAACAACTAATTTGGGAAAAAATTGCACTTGTTAAAGTACGTTTAATCAAGTTCCATAGATCATGTATGTAATTGTACCAACAATTTATTATTACTTTATGAAAATGAAAAATTATGATTTCATCGATTCCCAGCAATATCATTTGAATTCTCAAATACTTGGGTTCGAATAAAACCAATACCAAAAAAAATAAATAAATTAATAAATTAAATTCAAATTTTTTAGTTTTTACAATAATAATTTTAGATACATTTATAAAAGTATTTTAATATATCTGGAATTATTTTAGTTTCAAATATTTCCTCGCCGCATATATTTAATAATTTTTTATTTTTAATTAATGAGGGAATTAAACGTGTCATTTATCGCGTGCAATTTACTATAAAAAGGGGAGAACATCTAATTCTCTAATAAAAATATAGGATATGTTAAAATTTATGTATTTCGAGAAAACTTGAAGCTGGCCAAGTTTTATCGTGATCGTTAAAAAAATTGATCGAAAATTCTCCTTTAATTTTCTCTTATTATTTACCTTTGAAAAAGCAAAAATTATGGATCTTAATTTTTATTTTCAAATGAGATTTCATTTTAGCACTTCATTACAATAAAATTGACCTGAATCTTTTTTGTTTTTTTAATCAAAAGTACTTCTAAAATTGCCCTAAATCCATTTGTATTTAAAATGTTACTTTCATAATCTTTTTTAATACTTGGTCCACTATTAATTTGGGTGTTCCATCAACTTTGTAAATGTACTGTTACATTGAGTATAATTTCGCCATAATTTTGTATTAAATTATTTTCGATATTTGATCATTTAGACAGGATAGCAGGATGAAAAAATGGCAGGGTACCAGGCTGTCCTAATCATTATTTATTTTTTATAAATATGAGCTGGAATTCTTAAACTACTTAACATTCCATGCTCGCCCTTCTTATATTGCATACATATACACCTTAAAAACCTTCATTTAATCCTTTCGCGATATTTTCGTTTCGCCGATTTAACATTTATATTTTATTATTGTAACTTTATTTTTTTAATTCCCGATTTTCTTATTAATTGACACTGCGAAAGTGTAGAGCGCTGACCTTGAGGAAACACTGATTAATTTGATATTATTAAATAAAGTTAGCGTCAATATTACTTCATTTTTACTCAATAAAAACCGTTTGCTTACTTTTAAAATTGACATGAAAGAACTGATGGTCAAAAAATGATCTACAAAGATTATCCATAACTATCAAAGCAATTTACAAGTGTAAATCGTGATCTTTCGGGCGGAATTATATTAGATGTAAACAGTATCTATTATTTAATTATTTACTACAAATCAAATATATAATTTGTTATTGAAATAAAAAAGGAATTTGAATTTATTAACACATGGCTTAAGTACCGTTACAAAGCCTTTTGGCTTAGTTATGTTATCAAAGCTTCTTATTTAGTTACATTACAAATGCTTCTTGGCTTAGTTACATTACCAAAGCCTCTTGCTTAGTTACAGCAAACAATGCCATTACAACAATATCCTATTTGCGAACTGGCCGGAATTGATCTTCATAGTCTAACTAAAATCAATATGAACGATGTTTTGAACAAATTATCTTCTGTGGGGAGAATTATATTCATTGTATATATACAATCGCTTAAATTTTTTTCTAACCGATTATATTTGGGATTTACAATGGTGTGATTGGTTGCAAATATTTATTACAGCATTTGAGAGGCTGTAAAGGTTGTAACGCAATCTATAGCAAGCAAATACAAGTTTCTTAAGGATAAGCCTAGTAAGCCTGATACTTAAAAAAAAATATAAAAAGTGAGGAAAATTTTGTTATCATATTGTCAATAGACATCAAAAATATAAATACACGTCTTTAAGTTACATTCCACAAGAATCTGTTTATAAAATATTTATTATAAAACCATGTGTGATATTAATCCTTCAAATACTTCCAAAATCATCATGAAAATTCACATTTTCATGCTTATTATCGTCATTTTAGCTTTTAGTAATATTGCTTTCTCAGCTCCTTCTTCTAGTGAGAAACACTCAAGCTTGGTGAAAAGGCAAGAAGAATGCACCTGTGCAAAAGAAATTTTTGAGGAACATAGATGGTGGTGTTGCGATTCTGGAATGTACTCCGAAAACGACATTTGTCCCTATTGTCATCAGTTATGGAACACTTTGTGGGAAAAACCCTAAACCAATTATCGGCAAAAGTCGAAACTTTTTAGAAATTTTTTCGACAGTTTCGATGGGTTTTGTTAGTTTCGATTGGTCTCGAAAGTTTCGATAACAAATTTGCGAATTTGACGGTTTTAACAGGTTTATTGTATCAATGTAGAACATTAAAACGATTTTTTTTTTTTGCTCATTATTTTAAATTAGAACAAAGTTTCCAAAATACATTATTTATCGAGTAGGTTTTAAATTTGTAATCGGGTTTGTTTTTATTTCCGGATTTATTTAATTTTTAAAATCCGAATCTCTTTCAAAAACTGTGTAGATCAAATAAATTTTTTAAAAAGTTAAATTAAATTATACATATAATAATATTACGATCTCAGCGCTTTTTAATTTATATTTTATAAAATCCCATAAAAAGATAAACTTTCAGATTTCCCAATTTAAGAATTTACATAATGATTAACGCTAGTCATAATTGAGCTGCATTAGAATCTAATCTTCAACTACTTGTAATACAATCTGGCTCCCCCTTAACTTGATCATTAAGATTTTAGCAGTTTCACAGACAAAGCCCGTCTTACATCTTCCTCGTTTGAGATATCATCTATCTATTATAGATGAAACTTTGGCTTACCATAGTCTTTAAATTGATCGGAAGTTCAATTTTGACTTTATTGGAATTAGTAGTGCTATTTTCATATCAGGGTAATATACTGTATCTTGTTATCATATCGTCAAATCTAATAGAGAATCTTCTTTTCTCCTACATTTGCATATCTGTGGATTGTTAATACCCTGACATGGGTGTGGTAAGACACAGATACATAGAGCTTCGCGCAATATATTGTTTAAGATATTGCTGACAATACCTCAACTTCAGTTGCTGCTGTATTTTCTTTTAGGCTCTAATGGTTATTGTTCAAAATTAATAAGATAAATGCAAAAATTTAGTAAAATTCATAATAAAGAATATTTGCTTGTAATTATTAACAAGAAATTTAGTCCTATCAATTGTATGCGGTATATTCTCTTTCTCACGTTCTTTTTAAGCCTTTTTTAACTAGCTTTATCTGAACGCTCTGTTTTCATCCGTGCATCTGGCATGTGAAAGAAGATTGTAGGTATCACTAGTTATTTGCTTATTTAGTGATAAACAGCGAATAAGTAATTCTTCTGAGTCAAATCGCGCTTGACTATTAGTTTACCCTCCCTTTGCAATATAAATGATAAACACCTTTTCTTTTAAAAATTTGAAAAATACCGCCAGTCCTTTAATTTCCACTTGGGAATTAATACTTTTCTAGAAAAACTTTAAAACGTTTTTCAAAGAACCGAGCAATTATATGGGATTATCAATCAAATCTTGATGTTGACGCTTGCTTTAGATTAAAATTAAAATTACACCTCCGTTAGCTTGTCACAAGAGTCTTTAAAATTTGATCATCATCTAAGGAGGGAAAATTTTTAATAATATGAACGTTGATTTAATATAGGTGCATAAATTACCTACATGACAGTGAGCCCTAAAAAGGATACCATTTCTAAATTTTCTTTAACTTGCTTTTGAAATTAGTGAAGTTGTTAATGAGCCATTTCAAAGAGTATACATTGTGTCGAAATATGATTTTTGACTCAGTTTCCCAGTCAAGTATTCTTGTTTTATAAGTATTATTTTTAAAACAATTTATCAAGAAGGATATCACTGAATTATTTTTTAGAACGCATAAGATTGATTGAACCCTTTGAAACTTGTAGTAAAAAAAAGTATTTGAAGCAATATCTTGAGCAAAGTTTCTGGAGGATTTAAGGAATAACATCATTACCTTATAACTTTTAATGATGCCTTGTTAATCAGAAACACATGATTTTGTCATTGTTCTCGAACGATTTCTTTATTGTTTGAAAAACTTTTTTATCATGAAATAGAAATTGTTCAAGAATAATGATCAAATCGTTTTTATTTAATAAAGTACAATCATTAGTTTTCATAAAATATTAATCTAGTAGGTTTGCATTTTTCGTTGTATTTTGAAATAAATTAAAACATTATTGAATCATATAAATTCGTTAGTGATTACATGTTTTGATGAATTTACTATACATAAATATTAATGGTAATTAATAATTAAAAGTAAAAGAAACTTGTTTCATGTTAAATTCTAATTAAAATTTAATAATTGCAAATGAAAAAATAAACAAGATTCATCGACTTTATATAGTCAACATTTTTATCGTCACACTTTTCTTTTAGTCACATTTTGCAATTTTTATTATTTTTCAGTTACACTTGACCAACTTTTTCATAGTCATTCATAAATTTGCTTAACATTTCACATACAGTAACATAACTAAAGATAACAAACTCGCATAAATTTTTTACAAGTTTTGAAATATATGATATTGTAATCTAAAGGTTAGATCATTTTAACAAATCTATTAATAAATCTGCATAAACTTCAAGAAAATTATCATTACGAATTACAATATTAATATGAAACAAAATGTCAATTACCGTATAGTACCTAAATGAAATACTGTATATACATTTATTAATATCACGGGATGCTTACTTTCAGGACTATATGGTATCTCGTGGGTAGATTTTTTAATGAATACAATTATAATTGATCTAACAGGTTTTTTCTTCATACACAATTGACTTTTCTATTATGCAAGTTTTATAATTTTTTTTTAAAAAATTTTGATTCGTCAATATAAATTATATATAAAGCTGAATTAATAGCATCTCCAATATCGATGTTGGTTCTATTAGAAGGTAAACCAAATTCCTTGGAAATCGAAGTTATCTCAGTATCGCAATGTTCCACTTTAAACCACCTTCAAGAAGAGTTCATTGAACTTAAAAATGTCAATTAGTGTGACATTAGAATTATTCGCTGATAGGGAACGAAAGTAACCTCTAAGTAGAGATGTCCTAACAGTCCACCTTAACACAACTTAATTATGATTCAATATCCATTTTCCACATCGAACAGTAAGTTTAAAATGTTTTTCATTTTTGATTTCTTCTATAATATTGGGTATTCATTTTCATTCATAGTGACTTGTGAAATTGGAAATATTGAAATGAAATACAAAATACCACACTCCAGCAGATCTTGGATTATATTACTAAAAAAAGTTCAATAAATTATCATTCTTTAATGTCGAAGAAGCGCGAGATTTCTATTTTGAAATTCCTGAGAACAATAAGAATATCAAAAATGAATTTTAACGCCTTTTAGATTGGACTATAGAACGAAATAAATCACAAACCTTAAAATCAAGACCAAATGTATGATTTTTTTCTATCTTAATTTAGTATAAAAATGATGTAGATATCCTGATTTCAAACTTCTCCAAATTATGATAGGTATTAAATCTTTTAATGAATGGGAAATCAAAAGATATATTCAAAAAAGTTTTGCATCAGGAATCTAATGGATCGCTTATAGATTACTAGACATTTGATTTGAATCCCAAATCACAATCCAATTTCTGAAGAAAATTGAAATTCTTTACTGATTGGATCAAACTAACGTTGAGAGTATTCAAAAATAATATCAATGTTAATGAACGAACAGTTCAGGAATATATGGGGGCTAAGCTATTAAAATCACCTTACGGGATAAGAAATTGATTTTGAGTAAATAATGATTAAAAAAATGC